TTCCGTAACCAAAAATTTCCATGGGATGAATTAACACACATTCATGCTAAAAAGTGTAAATAAGTATATATAGTCCATATTTAGGTAAGCAAACAGTAAATGCGTGTATGATGACATAGTGAGCCCCCCCAAAAAAGCTTAAAGCTGTACCGTAACCTTACATTAACAAGGGATGTACGACATGTCCGTGTATATTGACGTAGTTGACGCTCCTTTTTATGTACTCCTTACACTTTTCGACAATTCATTGTTATTTTGACCATAACTTCGTCCGGCAAAAAATTCTCTGAACTATATAACTTCTTGTGGTGACGCCATCGGCACCCAATAATGGTGTTGGCAATGATGACGTTGCTGCGGGCATCGCCAGCAGTATGAAATTGAAATTTGCTGCGGTACGTTACATGCCATACCATAATTAAGTAAAACGCAAACAAACGCCCTCTCCGTAAATGGTGGAACCGCATGAAGAGGTGGAAGAAGGTGGCATACAAAGCGAATATAGAAACATTTCTTATGGATTTTAATCAGTGATTTATATTTTCATATACCCCGCTACCAATTGTGCGTAGTAGGAAATCTTTGTACGAAAATTATGACAGATCACAGGTCCATTACGGAGTAACGAAAAGCAGCCGAAGATATTACTTTTCTTGTGATAAGAATTTTTTTTAATTTAAATTTTTCCAACAAGTTATTCATTTTGACGAATTACTTATTTACAACACTGAAACTTATTTGTATTACTTGAAGCCTGTTAAACGAAGAATTTCCTACAGTTGTTGGCACCACCCACATTTGAGCGTTAATATGTTTGCGTTATTAATCAGATAATTTCGTATTTTATATACATGCAGACCTGGTGATTTTTGGTTTGATAGCAAATTAATTAACTGTGATTTATTGATGTGCTTAATCGAATTCCCGAAAAATTGTTACACCTTTGTAGTTAGGTTATTCGAGAGTTCTCATGATTTGCTAATACTTTCGACTATGAAAAGGTTTACTTCATATTTAAGCTGAGCTTGAATTGTTTAGCAATAAAATAACAAGCATTAAATTTAATGTGTGTTTTAGTATCGAAATAAAACAACAAAGAATTGAGAGATTTCTAATAGCAGTAGATAATTCGCCTAACACGGTGATGATCTCACAAAGTATCGTCTGATGAATGTTTTTCATCCGGGTTTAAAAGTGCTATGACAAAGTATTGGTGTTCTTAATATCGCATCTTTTTGGCGCATTCTATGAACATTTAAAAGCCATTTAAGTCTACCGGATTCGCGTGGAGAAATTTTTACTGCATCTTTATGGTAAATATCTTAGGCACGCTCTTTCGGTTAAAGCTCTTCAGATTTGATATTACACCACAATTCAGTTTTAATGCTTAAATCAGCTTCCTTAGTCAAGCTATATTAATTTCACGTCAGCACCACACAACAATAACATTTATTTTCAAACTTTTGTGATATTTACACATATGATGAAAGAAAGAATTGAAATAAATTTAATTTGCTATTTTTGCGCGCAGAAAAACGTGGACGAAATGAGGTCACACACATATACACATTACTATGCTTAAAATACATACGCTCCACATAAAATGCGCTTTAGCTTCAAAGAGAACGAAAAATTAAATTTTACTATTCGTACGTGCACGGATTTATGGAAAGCTCCTTAGCAAAATGGCGAAAATAATTTAATTTAGTTTTACTTCTTAGAACGCATATGCTGCCAGTAAAGTATCTTAACTTTGGCACGAAGCGGCAGAGCAAAGCAAACGCGGTAAAGATCATTTAATATATACAAATGGGGAGAAGCATTAACGTGTATATATGTAGGAAGGTATATTAGTACCTGAAAATATAAAAAAAAGTTTCGTGATTATTGGCAAGTATTTCACCATTCCGTTCCAGTTCAGAATGCTAAAAACGTTTCATCAACTCATGCAGTAAAGAAGAAATGTATTTGAAGAAGTTCTTTCAAGGAAGCGCGATGTTAATTTTTATTAAGGCTCTATTTCAAACGAAGAACCACATTATTAGAGTTCTAAACTTACGAGCACACTAGAGGGTTTCGACGGGAAATTTGACTTTTCACAAGTTTTGGATTTGAGAAAGTTTTAAGAAATTAGAAAGAGAAAATAAGAAAGATAAAGGAAAACATATTATCGATCCCCGCCTGATGAGGGAAGGAATTTCACGAACCTTATTAATACTGCTGAAGTATTTTTTATACTTTTCTTAAGATTAGTGAATTTGCAACAACAGCCAAGTACAACACAAGATTCAATGAAACGTCGACTCGGCTTCAATTAAGCAAGGGCTATAAATGATATATGTACATACATATGTTTGAGGAGAAACCAGAGACGAAAACAACGAATATTTGTAGTCGTATATATGAGATATTTGTTGCACAAGTCAAGTGTATTGACATTCACGGTGCTAAACAATATGCTGACCTCGAGCAAATAGTAAATAGGGCACAAGAATGCAAATTTATACCATATAACAAATACAACAACCACAGCAAACAAATAGTACCTAGCAGCAAGTGCTTTCATGGCGTCCCAAGAATGCAGTAAAATTGAGTCTAATGGTGGCGGCAAATATGGCGCTGGACGAAGTATGACGACAACGCGGAGCTTGATGAAATCACCAACAACAATGCGGCTCCTTGCTGGAGCGTTTAAACAAATGTGAGTCTTTACTATTAGTGGCGTTGCGTGCCGAACGTGCGCATGCATACACGTGCCTCTGCAGCCACCAGCCACCAGCCAGCATGCCAAGCAGCCAATGCGGATCATGAATAACATACAAAGTAGCGGCTGCTTCTGGGGCACGTTGAGACATTTGGAAAGCACCCAGAGGACATTATAACCATCATTTTGTTGGCAAGTGTGGCGTCCATTCCGCACACATTCACATCTGTATGTGTGTAAGCATGTGCCGATCAGCTAGTGTGCGTGCGTGCGTGTGCCAGTGCGAAAGTGTGAGTTTGTGAACATAAAACCATATTGCTGCATGTACAAACTCAACTGTTGTTGGCCGGCAGCTGTCCTTAATAACCAGTCATATATATAAATATGTATGTATGTATGCATGTGGCAGCCAGTGGTAGGTGCATACGCAATGCAGTGGGAAATAAGAAACCGAAGTGGGAGACTAGAAAAAAGTACGAAATGGCGGACGTGTGTGCGGCGGGTGAATATACATATGTATATGTATGTATGTATGTATGTGTCCACAAATCTATGTCAAAGGAGCTGCAAAGGAGAAGGGTGAATGGCAAATGACTAGCATGCCAAGAAGCATGTTGAGACAAGCAGTGCGAAAACATGCTGTCAAAGTCAATAAATATGATGTAAACTGCAAAATGAGCACTTGCGTGACACACAGCAAATAAAATAATTGGTTCATGTGAAACCATGTTGATCTTAAAAATATTAACATTTAACTGGTAAAAATAATATTTTGTTAGTGACCGGCGATCGCTTGTCACCACTTCGATTCACCTCTACTCTTCTCGCTATGGTTGGAGAGCAACAACAGTGTTCTTTATACTATCCCTCTCAGATAAAGTCTGTCTATCAGGTTTATACTAGTTGTTTGTTCGATTTGCGACTCTCTAAAATTTAATGAATCGAACAACTATCAAAAACAACCGAATGCCATCTATATAGCTGTATACTTTTTGAATACTATCATTCGCTTTTAAAATTACACTCTACTGACTATTTCCTTAGGATCGATACTATGCGATTTCACCCTCATAGTTCATTGGATTTTGTTGGCATGGTTCGCAATTTTAGTAATGATTTCTCACTACTTCTCTAATTGCTCGAGATCAAAACCTGTTCGTTTTATTAAGAAACAAATATTATTAAGGGTGTGGCGTGCGGTTAGATACTGAACTGGAGGATAAATGTCATAAGTTGTGTCAAAATATGTTCCACCAACACTTTTGAACTAACCGAGGTTCAGTTTCACTATAAAACTCTTTACTTGTTTATGTGTTTCCAAAAGTAGGTTGAAGCAATAACCTTCACAATATACATAATTCTTTATTAGAACTATTTTTCGCCTACACATGTCACATACGAAACAAATTTGAGCTTTCAGATAGCCAATGTGCAAATCGAATGCTGCGAAAGCTAAAAATACTGGTGGTTGCCGTTGTCAGGATAAGACATATGGTTAAAATGCTGAAGCTTAATCCTAACTGACTAATACCAACGGGCGCCAACATGTCCGAAAAGGAGTGAGTGCCAATTGGGGAAAACTACGGGTGACTGGAATTGACAATGAGACTGTCACCCACACGCTATGCTATATACTACAACAAATATATATACTTATATGGTGAACATAAAATGGCTAATGGGCGAAGACAAATATTTAAACGCACATGTAAGGAATCCATGACTATTTACATACATATACGTAAGTATGGATGTGTACGGTATATGTCAACATTAAATAATTTATGTATTAGTTGACTGTAATATATTCATAAGTGTGCATTATATATGCACAACAAAAATATTATCCATTTTATAAAAACAACTTGGCAACTTTTTAACTTGATTGATTGGCAATATTGACGCCACTTCATATTTGTTGCTAAAGCTTAGAAAGGAGGAGAAGATGAAAGAGGAAATGTAGAGAAATGCGAGTACTGAATCGGAAAAGTCCATAGCCGTCATCAGATAGCAAAGTAAATAAAAGAACAATCACATTCTGCAATTTGATCAAAATATCGCGGCATAAAAAGTAAAAAGTGAAATGCAAATAAAAAAGTAATGGGCAAAGGGAATATTGCATACGAAAATAAACAAAAATGAAAAAATAACTTTCACACATATGAATGCGCAAATGCATGTGTGTATGTGTAAATATGTCAGACATTTGACAAGTACAAACAAATTATGTACCAAATAAAATAAGCACAATGGTGACAGCAAAGGATACAAGTTTAAATTTCATAAGCGGACTCACATTTCATTTATTAAGAACTTAATACACCAATGAGCCGGTCTCACCTGCAAAAATAGAAACAATTTATTACAAATTATATCTAGTAGAAATTATATAAAATCTATATATGTACATATGTACATTAGAGCTGGTCAATTTTTTTTTCTATAAAATCGCAAATGCTGTAAATGCCCTACGGCTCATTCTGAACAATTTTGCCTAAGAGGCTATGTGCCTAAAACCGGTTTCGAGCCAGGGTTTATTAAGCGAAGTTTATCTTTTAGGCATTATAAAACTTTCTCCGTCAGTTTTTGAGATATTTGATTGAAATTTAATACATAGGTGCATTTGATATTTCATTGATCATTTATCGGATTTTACCAGATCGGAGAACTATATCACATATCTCCCCTACAACCGAATATTCTGATTTTTTATTTACCGGTATCCTGCCTTTAATTAAAAAGCTAAGAGCACGAAATTTTGCAGAACTGTCCTCTAAGCATACTTAACAATGACAGTGAAAATAAATAAAATCGGATAACTATAATATATATGTAGCGTCCATGCAACCGATTATTATATAGAATCATATTCTATTGATCAAAGTTCTTCAGAATGATCCGTAGAATATTTCGCACATATGCGATTTTTTCGCTTCTGGGCTGCCTGTAAATCAACACGCTCTAATGTTTAAAATAACCTGTGGCAAGGGATAAGTTTGGTATTCGCATTGGATATGCGAGAAAGATTTAGCGATAACTGCAAAGACTTATTATAAAAAAAAATTCGAACGAATACTGACATTAACCTAACAGTTGTTGCGCTTTTCGAGAATTAAAAAAAAATGCTTGCAAAAATGTCAATAAAATTTAATTCTAGAAGCTTTTTTCAAACAGTGATGAAAGAAAAATCTAGCCCTAAGCTTATTACATAAGTTAAATAATGCCCATGATACTGAATAATACGAGCAATTGATATGTGGTCGTTTCTTATGCAGTAGATGTGATAAAAGTAATTATATAACATTTAAAACTACAGCGGGAGCGTCTGCAGGACAAAGTGGGTTTTGATTATGATATATTTAATATCTCGTGGCCTAAATGCAGCTTAAACCAGGAATTCATCTAAACTTCTCGGTCTCAATAGAACGATACTAAATTTCAATGATGCCGAATGGTTACAAAAAAAAATCTCCAAATGAGATTAGTTTGTATCTCTAAATTTTACATTACAAAATAAACAATTTACTTGAAATATGCCCCACAAGCATAGCTATTGCGAACAAAAATATTAGAATGCATAAGTACACACAAAGAAACCGGTGACACGAAGTTCAATAACAAAACTTCGCGTGTAATAATCATCGAAAAGGGAAATCGAACGATGCACAACGTTAAAAATTCAGAACTAAGTGCTTAGGCGCACAAAGAAAGCGTAAAATTGTCCATGAGTTCACCCACAGCACTCGACGCAGAGCGGTCAAAAACGAAAAAAAACGGGGCATCGACCGCATGGCACTTACTACCCACACACACACACACACCCTCCAGAAACGGACGTAGACAAGCCTGCGATTTATTTTAAGTCACTACCCGGTGGGTGATACGCGGACCCACCAACACTCACACCCGCATATGTGGGCCACATGAAAGTTTAAAATGCACTTGAGGTTTCGGGTAGCCTTGCATGTTTTGATTTATATCAAATTCGTTTATTTTCCAACGTGCAGCTGTCATGTGCTCGAAAAGCAATTTGTTTTTGTATTACAACGGGCAATCCGAATTGCCAAAGTAATTTGAATAATAGCGTATAAATAAATTACTTCATTTCCTATGCAATTACGGATATGTATGAACTCCGTTATGTTTACTACGTGTAATTGTTGTACGTTGGTTCTGCATTTGCTATTTGGTTATTAAGTTTTGGCTTTTGGTAAGCAAAGAATGTTTATAAACAATCTTTTATTTTTTATGCATATGCTTGTATGTACATATGTAGGTAAAAGCAATGCGAAGAATGTTAGCTTTTCCAGTCATATCTGTCAAGTGCACATTTAGGTCATTTGGCCATTTCAACTTTTTTTATCCGAAATGAGGAGAAAACAAAAGTGTTCTTGGAATCCTTCGTTATTGGAAAATTATTTTTATGGTTAAAGAATGATTGAAGTTTACAAACCGAAAAACTAGGCTTCAGTTAATGAGAAGAAAATAAGCGCGGTTTGCAAAATGACTTTACCACCTTGGATACAATACATTTCGATGAATAGGCGTTCTAATTGCAACAAACGGTTCAGTGTCATCTAGATAGTTGGTTGGCTGAGAGGAGAGCCGCAGTAGTTAGGCCATCATTGGGGACATTGTGCTTCAAAATGGTAACCAACTAAGTCCTCCGCGCATGCTCTGCATTCCGCCGAATCCACTTTACAAATATTCTGAAGGTGGGACCTTAGGGATGGATATCTTACAGCGACCCCTACAATGTTACTAAGATAAGTCTTGTCTAAAAGCAGAAGCGTTTTGATCTGATCACAATCAATACTATCCTAAAGTAACTTGGTGGTATGCCTGTTCCAAGTCCTGAGGAGTTCTCTAGAACTAGATGCAGTTTGCAAGGAGGACATCCTTTCAATCCACATAGTTGCGCCCAAAATAGACTGCTGTAGGCACGGAAGGACATAATGAAAACTAACCGAATACCTTTACAGTATACAGCTAAGTTTACAGTAAACCTTAAATGTTTCAGAATCGGACCAAATATGCTACATCGAAAAAAGTAAACGGAAGTATACAGAAACCCCAGACAGAATCACTGCCAAAAAGACTGCCAGAACAGTATCTGAAAAAAATAAATAAAATCTAATGGATTAGCACCAATTTGTACTTGTTCGCGCTTTACAAAAAAAAGTTATTTACAAATGCGCATCAAACGACATACATACGTCCCAAATAGACACTTCAATAGCAGCAATATGCCACATCATTGCCGCTAAACAAGCAATAAATCAACTGCAATGAAACAGAAATAGAAAAGTCACAACTAAAGGAACAAAAGTGCCCACACTCAAAGCGATACTGTTTCGCTATTAATACACATCGGCATGCAGGCAGTCATTATGTCAGACTGTCGCAGTGGCAATGCTTTGCTACACAAATGTATATGTATATGCATATGTATATTTGATGGGACGAGGTGTGACGGCGAGCGTCAGAGGGCGACAAGCGTTGCATGTGGCCGATATTTATGTAAAGGCGATTTATTGCCACACATACATATGGACATGTGTGTATGAGTGTGTGTGGGCTGTGCGATTGCACCATGTCATGATTATCCCGACAGCAAGCACGGCGAAAGCGTTGGGTGCGGGGTGATTGCTGTTGTTGCTGCTTCATAAACATGACATGCTCCACATTTGCTGACATTTTATGTACTTCATGAAAAAAAATCGGTATACATTAACACACATATATATATGCAAATATGCATGTACCGTTATGCGGGCACTTTCAAAAGTTGTTGAATGTGAAGGAGGAGCAGCTACTGGACGACAGCGGCAGGCACTCAGGCGCTCTAGTACACTTTCTTAAGCTCCAACACACACACACACACACACACACACACACACATTTTTCACTTTTGCATTTGTAGTTTGCTGTTGGCACAGATACATTTTCGGCAAACGAAAATTACCCGAAGGCTCAAGACGAAGGCAGGTCTCACAGGTGAATTGTGTTGAGTGCCATGGCAACTAGTCAACATTTTTGAGTGCGCGCGAGCTAGGCACACTTTTGCAATGGGTTTGCGCCCAAAAGCGAGCTTTGAAAAATAATTACGAACATTAAAACACATTTTAAGCTTCATAAGTGTCACTTTGCATACAAATTTGCATTAACATAATGAATGAAATACTGCAATGGAAATCCCATTTTAGAATTGAAGTAGCAGCGTCCATATAAATGCGTTGTGTAGACTGCAGATTGGATTTCCGTATTTCGTATTTAAATTGTTTTCATACACACCCACACATACACACACACCGCTTACCGCACTTCCAGTTTACATGGAAGTATGTGTGTGCGCACACCTGCAGGCGATGGCAAAAATTTCCGCACATTTGCAATTTTTGTTTTACAATCAGTAACACTTATGCACGGCGAGAGATTTGTAAATATATGGCATAGGCATCCTGTAGGAAAATCTGAACAAAGCGCAGTAAACAATCTCGTGTGGATGCTGACCAATTCCTAACATCTATTTTTGACATTCGGAATTAATGCGTCGCTTTAGTTTGCAGTTGATTTTTTAACAACTAACAGTTAAAGTGCATAAGTTCATATTTACAGTTTCTCAAAAACATTAATATAAAAAAGTTGAAATTATATAATCTCATAATAAAATATAATTGACGTTCGTGCATCTGGTAAACACTTTTACTCCTAGTTAGAGTTTCTTTATATTGTCCAATAAAGTTTTTAGCCTGAAAATAGGCTTTTCTTTATTTGAAAAATAGTACAGAGCACACCTACACCACGGCCGCCGCAAATCTAATAATATATTTATATTAAAATACATCTCATCTCAGTATGGTTTTGCGCAATAATTTAATATATGTATGTGTACTTACTAAACTATTTACCTACATTTCGGGGCGGTGGCAAATAAGCTTGCTAACCAATATGAGCTCTAAATTTAACATTAAAAATCTATAGACTATAATTCCCCATTCCCTGTCATTTCCTTAACAAAAGAGTAGAGTACAATTCGAAACTAATGGATTTCCCTGCGGGGCAGCATGTTGGTCCCAACACGAAACATCGTCTTATCAAGATGTACACAAAAAATAAATTACAGCACAAAAACCATAAGCTCCAACACATACAGGCATGCAATGTAAGTACAAATGCGTGCGTTGGGTGTGTTCAACATCACCACCTGCAACTTCGTTTTAAAGCGTTTCCTTCTTGCGTCTGTGGTGCCCGTCTTGTACGCTGACGCAGACACGAAACACCTTCAAGTGTCGGAAATTATGAATGAATGAACGAGAAATTTGCGCTCCTGCCATGTA